GTTTTCCGTTTCTCCCATGGCGGTCTCACGCACTTTTGTACTTTCTCTTTTGATCTCTCTTTTTGTTTTTGCTTCGGCTGAGATCCGATTCACGGAGATCCGATCCGATGACCGCCCATAATCCCCTTGGACGAGTTCGGGTTACCACACCGGCCGCCTCGAACGCAACGTCTCTCTGATTGCACTCTCCGACCCGAACCCGGACCTCGCCTTGTCCAAAGTCGGATTCTTCCTCTGCACACGCGACTTATGGATGCACGTGCTCCAATAACTCGAAGAAGGGGAGGTCACGTGCGCTCTCAATAGCAATCTCGTCAAAGTCGTCTCCAACTTCGGGTCTCTCAACGGGAAATCGAGCTTCGACATCGTTTACCAAGAAAACGACGCCGAACAATACACACTCGTCTTCGCTAACCGCGTTAATCAAGTCAAAGTATTGATGACCGTCCGGTCGGCGATGTACAATCTCGACGGCGAGATTAACATCCGGGATTACCTCTCCGCCGGCAAAACAATTCTCCCTAGAGGTTACTTTCTTTTGTCCCTCGTTTATTTCGCTCTCGCAGGGATTTGGATTTACGTGCTTTACAAAAACGACCCACAGTTTTTAGAATCCATTTCTTTATGCTGGCCGTGGTTATTTTAAAAGCTTTAAGTCTGGCATGCGAAGCAGAGGATAAATCTTATATCAAACGAACCGGAAGTGCTCACGGTTGGGATGTTTGTTTTACATATTCAGTTCTTGAAAGGAATCATGCTTTTTAAGCTGATTGTTCTGATTGGTACCGGATGGTCGTTTTTAAAACCTCACTTGCAGGACAAGGAAAAGAAGGTTTTGATGATTGTGATTCCACTTCAGGTTGTTGCTAATCTTGCCCACGTTGTTATTGATGAGATTGGGCCTTTCGGTCAGGATTGGATCACGTGGAAGCAAGTGTTTTTGCTTGTTGATGTTGTTTGTTGTTGCATGGTGTTATTTCCGATTGTTTGGTCGATTAAGAATTTGCATGAGGCGGTGTTGGTTCCGATTGTTTGGTCGACTAAGAACTTGCATGAGGCGGCTAGGATGGATGGGAAAGCTGCAGTGAATTTAATGAAGTTGACTCTGTTTAGGCAATATTACGTTGTGGTGATCTGTTATATTTACTTTACGCGTGTTGTGGTTTATAATTTGGAGACGATTACTTCCTATAAGTATCTTTGGACCAGTGTGGTGGTCGGGGAGTTGATCACACTCGCATTTTTTGTGTTTACAGGGTATAAGTTCAAACCAGAGGCACATAACCCATATTTTGTGATTGATGATGAGAAGGAAAAGGCTGCAGCAGAGCAGTTGAAGCTTGAAGATGAGTTTAAATTATGATAGCATTCATTGAGAAAAAAATATATGGAGAATGATCGAAGAAAATGGTGCGGGGAATCAAACTGGGACAGTTGAGATAGAAGCCTGATCATCAAAACGATTACCAATGTTAAGAAAAGCTGTAATAATTCATGCTTTTTTTTATCTACTGTGCTGTTTTTTTTTTTGTTAAGTTGATAGGTTAAAATGTATACTTTGATGCATGTTTGTGAATTTGATAGCCTGTGTAACTGCAAATACAAAATTTATGCCTTGCTTTTTCAACTCGTTGTTTGTTATTCATTAGTCATTCTGGGATTGTGTTGTGAAACATTGCAGTTGTAGCAATCATGTACTTTCTAATGAGAGCTGTCCATGCAGGTTTTGAGGGGTATATTGTCTGGTTGACTAATAGATTGATACATGCTACTAGTGATAAAGGCTTGTATCTATCTAAAGGTTGCATTGTTCATGCACTCACAAATAACCGATTACCAAATGAAATGCTCAATGAAGAGGTATTGCTGTAATACTGCCTGGAATATATGTAATGGTGCATTACTTTTAGGGGCTTTTTTAAATATTTGAAGTGGTTCTGATATAACAAATGTGCTTCTAACTGAAATCTAGTTTATAACTTGCACATGCATTTTATTTAAGTCAGCTGGCAAATGTTTTCTTTGTTTATTTCAGAGATTCCAAACTTGTGGACTGACCTGTAAGTACCATATTCTGTCTATTTAGTAAGTTACTAATTGGCTGGCTGGAACTTAAACATTTTATTCCTTCACATTTAGCTGCTCATTTGCAGAGCAGGAAGCTTGCAAGGAATCAATCGTAGTTGGTCTTCTGCTGGATGCCGTTATTTCATCTAGATTAGCAGTCAAGATATTTCATGAATTGCATTGAGACTTCTGAAACGGCCTTGGTTCTGCTTGATGGATTCTATTAGTAGTCTAGCTGTCAGGTTAAAATCTCTGTTGTCAATGGTAATGTTGGATTAATATAGAGATTTACACCCTGCTCGATTGTTTCAAGGATTTAGTTGTCTTGGACACATATGGCTTCAAAATTTTCTTCTTGTTGATGCTCATAAAATAGGTCCGTGGAAGTTTCCGATTGCACTTGGTTAATCAATCCTGTCATGGCCACTTCCATGTTAGTTGCTGAGTAATTAAGGTTTTGTGTCATGGCCATGGCTAATATGTAGAATCTCTTCACCTCCTTAGAAGTACAAAATCAATCTGGAGAACGGGGCATACATACTCTGTAGGTTACCAACTGGGAAAGAGCTTGTTCATCGGTGTTGCCTGCAGGCTTGCTGCCCTTTAGCTTTTGTGAACACTTTGAATTCTCATCGTGTATGCGGTCACCCTGACAAATTGAAATGAATACTAGAAATTTTGACCTCTATTACTGACTCTTCTGGTTTAAATTTTATGTGATAAAGGTCAATATGAAGTTGAGAGGAAATCTTATTAGATAGTTCAAACTTTTGACACAGATTTGCAACTCTAACATGAACTAAACCTTGTATTTTGATGTCCTGAACCATTCTCTTTGTAGGAGTTATCTTCACCAGTCTGAACTTCTATAACTTCAGAGTTGTCTTTAAAGTTCCATAGCATTTGTGTCGTCAAGAACCTCGTATCCGAAAGCAATGTCTGATGTTCACTGTCAAGCTCTACAAAATATCTGATCCTACGGAAGGACGCCCTGTATCGTGGGTTAAGGTGGTCTTCTTGACAAAAGTGTCTGCCATGGAATGTAGTTTGACTTGTGCAGACACGAAATAAAAAATTGGACAGAAACCTTGTGACATAATGGAAGGGAAAAGGTCCACAAGTTCAGCCTACAGCAGTTGAAAAATGTGAATTGATTGGTTGAGATATGGGAATTAATTGATTGGTCTTTCTGTTCTTTCCTTGTTCTTTCTATCACAAGTTTATAATTTTTTTTTCTTGCCTCTGAGCGGTGATTTGTTGGGTTAGCATTCAAAGTTAGTAATCTCACGGTTGCAGCAGAGTTTGATTCACTATCTGTTCATATACTTGCTAAAAATCAGTTACATCTCTCCGAAACCAGAACTCCAAAAGAATCAGTGAATCACATTCTCTTCACCGAGCTCAGGTTTGGTTGTTTTATATAGGATAATACCCCATTTTCGCTCTTGAAGTGTTGTAATATTTTGATGTGATATTTAAATTTTATTTTTGTGTATTAAATTGCTCCAATCTTTTAATACCTTTAGAACAACATCGACATGGTAAATATTTGGTTGTATTTCTTGGTACAGCCAATGCCTTACTGGTGGTAAAAGTCTCCTTCTGATATGTAGAAAGAGAAGTATAGGCTAGGTAGGGATTGGGTATGTACTTGAAGACAAAATGCTGTAAAATGATCAAGAATCTAACGTTGCATTGATAATAAGCCTGTAATCATTAATCGTTAGGAATATGGGTATATTTGTGACTTAGAACATACCTCCTTTAGTCTTTTTTTTTTTTCCTTAGCATCCTTTCATTCATTTGTTCATCTCATGCATATAGCACATGCTGACAAATTTTGTTTTGTATAAAGCCTAATAAAAATTCTGTCAAAACAAAATCATAATCACCAATTATTATAACAGTCTCCCCAGGATGAAAAAAAAAAAAAAAAGGAACAGTAGTTCCTTCGCAGAAAAAAAATAAAAAAGTCACATTTTACTCCATGACATTGACCATATAGGAATGTGGTCCATTTTACTTGTCTTGCTTTCGTCTTTTTGTCAGCAGTTCTTCTCTGTGAACCACAAGAACTGAACCAAGAGCACTAAATCCTGGTCTGCGGAAAGATCGCAGTTCATGGCACATGGGAAGTTTCGTCCTCTTTTGGCAACGAGAAAACAACCCACTTGCAAGGATATCTCCGAATTTTTCAGCCGTGCCCAAAGTATCCAATGTTCTTAATAAAAAAAAGGTTTGAGTTCAAGTCAATGATTACAAGGAGTGATTTACTTACTAACTAGAAAAACTCCAAAAGAGGGCTTGCCAAGTTTTGTCATGTTAGTGGCAAATAACTATAGGCAAGTCATATTTTCAAGTAATTGAAAATTTGTACTTAGGGTTTATGACAGTGCAATGGGCCCTGGATTAAACATAAAAAGGGAACATCCACATGGAGCCTGTAGGAATAAATAGACCAATGTTTGAACTCCATGATAGCCTACTATGTCCTTTAGGACTTTGCAAAGCACTCTTGAGAGGAAAGATACCAAAATTTGATTAAAATATATAATTGCTTCATCTTCTTTAATCCAATCCAAGACAACCAGCAAATCCCATTTGTAATGCACGACATATAAGTTATAACACATTTTGAAGAAAGGAACTCCAAATTAAACTTTTGAAGTTCTCAGCTTCTTTTTTATGGTAATTAATTGTTTATGCTGCTGTAAAGGAACATTAATCAATCACTTGAATCATCAAATATGCATGTGGGTGCTGTTGTAGCTGAATGATTGCTGTGAGATACATACTTGATCCTTTAGTTATTGAAATCCTCTGGTAGGCCAGCCAATGTTAAAAACTAAGGGGTGAAAAAAAAAAAAAAAAACATGTTGACTTCTTCTTCTGCTACAGCTGCTGTTGTTATTTGTTAGCTCTCAGGGCTTTTTTTATTATTATTATTTTTTTTTTGCAGAGGGGTCATAGCAATAGCATACTGTTGGTTGAAAGATTTGGTTTTCCAGAAACCATGTCCCAAGAGAAGATCAAGATACCCCACCAACATGTTCACTGCCAGAGGTGTAAATTATCCGGCCTGAGAAGCCCCTATTCTATGACAACAGAGGTATAAAATCAGTGGTCTGGTGGACCAAACGTATTCATTGGACTTGACAGTGTCGTCAGATAAAGGAAACATGTACCTCAAGGAAAATTTCAGGTGACATTGCCATCTAATGTAGACAGTATTAAACTAATCCTTACAAGTTTATGTAGCCAAATCTTACACTTGCCTCTTAATTTTCATCAATAGTAAGTAAAGTCAAAACTACTGACGATGGATTGTCTTTTTAAGTTTTCCATCCGCAAATACAGTTTAACTTGTTGAAAAGTAGTTGATCTAATCTCCCATTAGCAGTTCAAGTTTCTGATTGAAACCATTGAACCCAGGTGCTTCATCTTTAAAACTGTCCTTCCTCAAATTAATGTGTCTGGTTAAACTAAATTAGTCCGTTAATTATCTCAGTCAATAATATGCCCCTCAATTGTTTTGACCTCCTCCCCGTGCATAAAAAGTTAGCCTACCAGCTGGAAAATTATGGCCTCTCACCATAGATGATAGATCCACTACTAGTTTTGGCATCCCATGAGAATGGCGATTGGGAGATGCCTTATAAAAGCAAGAACAGGGCGGATAAGAGAGATGTGGACCGATGGAAGTAGTATATAAGAGGCAAGACCACCTCCCCTAGGACTAGTTTTAAATTAAGATGAGATGCATGTGATATATCTTTAGCTTTTAGACTCCACATCTTCAATCTTCAAAGCAAAGTTCCCGGATAATTAATGGGCCTACCACAATTGCTTTCTTGACAGGGAAAATCCCCTTTAGAGAAAAGAAAATCAGCAAAGGAAAAGCTACAAGGAAAAAGCTCGTATAGAATGAAAGGGGAAGATATGGAGGAGGTGATGATGATGATCAGCAGCCCAGGTAATCCCAGAAATGAGACTCAGGCTATTCCTCAGGAGCCCATCACCACTACCACTTGCCCTAGCTGGAAACTTTACGACAATCCTTTTTATTATTCTGATCACCATCAACAACAACAGTGCCAAAGTAGAAAGCATCTTCATCAAGTAAACCTCCCCCACTCAGCTCGAAAGATCGCAGCCTCTTTCTGGGATCTCACCTTCTTCAAACCAGTTATGGATTCTGAATTGGATATTGGTCGAGCCCAGATCATTGAATTGAAAGCTGAGCTCGAGTACGAACGTAAAGCACGTAAAAAGGCTGAGTCCCTCAACAAGCAATTGGCTAAAGAACTTGCTGAGGAAAGAAGGGGAAGAGGAGCATTGGAGAGAGTATGTGAAGAGCTTGCAAGAGAAATTTCATTGTATAAAGCAGAGATTGATCGAATGAAGAGGGAATTTGAGGATGACAGAAAGATGCTGAGAATGGCTGAAGTTTTAAGGGAAGAGAGAGTTCAAATGAAGCTGGCCGAGGCCAAGATTCTCTTCGAGGAGAAGTTATTAGAATTGGAGGAAACTAAACGCACAAAACTTGATACTTCAGTTTCCAGAATTGAAAAGAAGAACAAAGAAGGTAAACTACCAGCATTCACTGCCAATCTTTCAGGGAAGTTTTCAAGGTTAGTTTTCAGTGAGAAATCTTGTGATTCAAGAGACTCAACAAGATTTGTATTGAGTGAAAAGGCATCATCCTGTTACGATAATATAAACAGTACTGTCTCTTCATCCATGGCAATTCAACGAAAAGCATCTCCAGAACCTGAGAATCCTCACATAAAGCGAGGGATCAAAGGGTCTGTCGAATTTCCAAGAGTGGTTCGAGCCATTGGATCCAAGAGTAGGCATTGGGGTACAAAGCTGGAGTGCCAAAAGGCTCAGTTAAGGATTCTACTTAAGCAGAAGAGCCCCATCCGATCAAATAGTCTTATTATGAGTTGAAGATATCACTTCCCTTGATCAAACCTTCCACATCTCCAAGTAATTTAACTTTTGTTTTTCGGCTTAAATTTTGTTTCGTTCTTATTTCTTGTTGAATTGTTTCTGCTAATGGGTTGGTGCCCCATACCCCAAATATCCTGTTCTTGAAAGATTATAAGAATAGAGTAGATATATGCTTTGGGTTTGTAATTTGCTGTATATGAGGTTGTGTTCATTAATATTATATATAGGATTTGATTTGATATTGCGACGTGTTGGTTCGGATCTTAGTAAAAGAAGCGTTGAAATTACCCAAAATTCGTTGTAAATAACTGCTAAAAGGCTCATTTTTTCAGTAATAGACATCTGCACATATTTGACTTTATTGCCAAGCTATTCGTGGATCTTCATATAGATAAAAGTAATGAACAATTTTTTGGAGAAACTTTAGGGTAGCTTGGGAAAATTCAACAACTTTTGGGGACACACATGTGCAATGGAACTGTTATTTCAAGCAAAGTGAAACTAGTTCAGAACTCACTTCCATTTCTTAAAATAGCCGGGACAACGATAAAGCAAAACTGTGCAGTCTGCAGGGTTAAGGTGTAACAGTCGTAATTCTTCTCAAAATCGATCACAATGATCTGATCAAAAGCACTGAATTAAGAGTGGATTAATTAGAGATAAAAAATGGTGACTTTTCATAGTCTAGACTAAGGTGAGTGTGGGCTTAAATGCTTTGCTACAAACGACAAGATCACAGCTGTTACTCAAGAATTATCATGAAATGTGGACAAAGATAGTTCTGGATATAGATCTTGAGTATTACTTTTGGCCTTTTATAAGATTACTGGTAGGTAAAAAATTGAGAAACAACAATAACAAAGAAAGAAAGAAATGCTAGGTAAAAAATTAAGCCCTGAAAGCAGGAAACTGTCAATTAATCTCTCTCTAGTTGCTCATAACACAGTCTGTACTTTCCAAATCGTATTAATAGCATTCATCTTTATAAGATCTGCTACAAGTTAATAAATTCTCTTCTAACAATTGAAGATAAAAAAAAAAAATGCATGCGTTGTTGAGGTGTTTTGGAATTGGTAGGATAAAATTTGTAGGTAGCAATTAGAGAGATGGATCGCTCGACCTTTCCGTCCTCTACATTATCTCTTATATCCTGAAACATAATTACATGACTGAGCCGTGAGCAAAACTTGCTTAAAACAAATAATGTTCAAATGACATTCTAGATCATTCGCCCTTTATAAACTTCCCTACCTTACCTTATCTTGAACCTTTAATTTAGAGGAGTGTTGGCCGTTGGGGCTTAACATGCCCCGTAATTTTCTTTGGTTACGAAACAATTGAGACAAATGAGGATGAAAAAAGAACAAGGCGACAAAAGATCAATCATTTCCCCGGTCGTCGACAGGCATTTATTGCATGAGGTTAAAATCTAGTAGGATTGGATACGTTACCTAATTAACCAAATTTACTTGAGGCACTGAAATTTATAAAATAATTAAAAAAAAAGATTAAACAGAACTTGGCTTGTGTGAAACCATATATCATTCTTTTTTCTGTCTTTTAATAGCTAATAAAATCATGTCAAACAATAAGCACCCTTTCCATCCTCTTATAACTAACCATTTTTTTGTCCTATTTATTTATTTGAAAGAAGCTCAACTAGAACTTAGAGTTGCCAATTCAGATACATGTTTATTAGATTTTTACTACACAGATTTTAGCTAACAAGTTTAAGGTACTCAATGCAATACTCATTCTAAAAGATAATTAGGTTTAGATTACTACTAAAGTCTATCAATTTATTTAAGAGATTAACTATTAAAAAAAAAAGTGGTTGAGTTGTTATAGAAGAGAAAATTTAGCCATCTTTGTTTAACATGAAACAGAAAAAAAAATAAATAATAAGAGCTTTCATTCCTCATCTTCTTTAGGATTAGAGAGCTTGAAAAATTAAGTTAAGGGATCCGAAATCAAAAGCTAAAATTAGATTAATATCCTAAAAGTGAGTATACACCTTTTTTTATTTAAAAAAAATATTATGTTAATTGCTATTATTTGAAGTTAAAGCTTATGAGAGAAAAACTTAAAAAAATTATGAGAATTTTCATTAATCTTCGTGATTTATTTGGATAATTTATTTGGCTTTATTTTCTTTATATTACTAAGATTTAATGATGATTATTGAATGAATTTTAAAGGTTGAAAGAGAAAATTTAGGTTTTAAAAGATTGAAAGAGAAATTCTTTTTTTAGATGCATGAAATATTATTATCTACAATAGTAGATTAAAATAAAATTATGTATTAAGAGATAAAATATTACTATAAGTATTTTATACCATTGGAAAGCTTGTTAAACATACTTTCTAACGAAGCAAGTGGAACTAAATTTCAAGCCTCCTATGACTAAATATTTAATTTTTACTAAAAAATATACATGCTATTTGATAATAGCATATGATGTGGATCGAAAAAAATATTACAATTAATCTACAAAGAATTAAGAAGTGAGCAATATATAATTAGAAAGCTTATTGAGTTTAATTTCTAACTTATTAAAAAGATTTTAATTTTGAGCTAAATATCTTAAGATATGATAGTTTTAGTGAAATGAGTGTAAGTTGTTCGCATTAGCTAGTTAACTTTTATATAATTTAGTTGTTTTAATATAAATTACCTAAAAAATGATTTATTAATTTCTAATATGTTGAAATGGCCTTAAATAGGCTGTCAATTTTATTGGAAAGAAAAAAACTAAGTGGTGAAATTGAAAGAAAATAAGTAGAATCTTAAATATTTTGTTTGTTTTTTAACTTATTTATATATATATATGTGTGTGTGTGTGTGTGTGTGTACGTTTCTAAATGAGTGAAGATTTTATTTTTTTATTTTCGATATATGAAAATAGGATTAAAAATATGATTATTTTACGTTTTACTATATAAATGATAAATCATACTTATGAATGAAATAAGAAATTAATTTATGTCTAAACAATAATTTTATGAGAGATACGAATTAACATCCATGAGAAGTGGATCATCAATACCAAAACTAATTCTATGACCTTAGTTAACGAGTTATACTAATTAGCATAAAGCTCTAGCTAGCGGATTATAATAATTAACAATGATCATGAAAATAAAATTAATGATACGACTATTGTCATGGGTTATAATAGTAACCATAGCTAATGATTAACTAATGGTAATAATGGTTTATGATGATGAATTTATGATTTTGATAATTGATCCATTATTTGTATGAAGTTATACTTAACCATGATTTATGATTTGTAATTGATGAAATGTTTTGATATAATATCAATTCTTTAAATGTTTACATAAATGCTTTGGAAGTATAAGTTTTAATGATATTTTTTAATGAGTTATATGTATATATAAAAACAATATTTGATCCAGTAAGGTGTATGAATCTATACTTACTGAGCAATGATTTGCTTTTTTTTTCTTTTTTTTTTCCTTTGCAAATGATTAAAATGATTAGTATGCATATGTTGGTAGTTTACAATGTGATGTATCCCATATTGAGTAGAAAGATAATTTATATATAGTTTAAAAGAGATTACTTATGTTATTTAAGTAATTGAGCTAAGTGTTAGAGTTTGCCAAGTCATTAGGGCTTACTAGGAGTTTTTTTAGTAGGTTAGATAATTTTAAATGTCAAAGATAGACACGTAGGCACTTGAGGCACTTGGGCTTATTTGGTAAATAGATTTAATTTTTAAATCATTTATTTTTTTATTTTAAAATATTACTAATTTTGAATAAACATGTTTGAACAGAAAAAAAACATGATGATCGGAATAAACATATCTAAATAAAAAAATATTGTCCTAACATATAGATCCGTAAATTTATAGCTAGACTTAACAAATGGAGGAGTCGCCAACAATCCTTTTACTATGTGTGATTGGCCACTTAAGGAATCTATCCATTTAAGGAGCTCTTAAGCTTAATTAAGGGTTCCTAAAAGAATAGGTTTGAGTCTACAAATCAGAACAAGGTTTGGGAGTTCGGTTATATATGAAAAAAGTTATAGCCCACATGCCCATCCAAATGATGGTACCATTTTATTTTAAATTTATCTTAAGGTCTTGGTTCTAATGGTTTCAAATTTGTTATGTTGAATATTGAAAATAATTCATAAGATTCTTCCATCAATCTGGTAGAATTCTTAAAAATATTTTTTCATTTCAAGAGTATTCAAGAATCCCATTTGATTTCTTAAAGAGGCTATATCATCGAAAAATGTTTAATTATTTTTATTGTTGAAAATATATCTAATTATTTCACTATTTGGACCAAATTAAAAATATTTTCTTGTTTTGAATTTCTAAATTCTCCACCATTTGGGCCTATTTAGAAATTTTATTTATTTATTTATTTTTTTGAATTTTATATTTTCCACAATTTGGGTCAATTTAAAATTTTCTTTTATTTTTTTCTTTTTTTCGGAAAGAAAATAATATGACAATTATTTTATTAAAATTTCATTTAAATTCTTTCACCATTTGGGACAAATCTAAAGAAAATTTCTCAACCTAATGATTTCTTAGGAATTTACCATTTGAAATTTTTAAGAATCTCATCCTTGGATAATTTTCAAATATTTTCAACCAAATTTTATTTGGAAAAGAATACAATTACTTCTATTAAAATTTCATCTAAATTATTCCACCATTTGGGACAAATTTAAAGAAAAATTTTTCAACTAAAAATTTCTTAAAAATTTATCATTTGACATTTCTAAGAATCTCATCCTTAGGTAATTTGTATTTAATTCCAAAATTTTTATATTTTATATTTTTATTTTGAAAATAAATATTAATTATTGTTATTAAAACTTTATCTAAATCATTCAACCATTTTGGACAAATTTAGATAAAATTTCTCATCTAGAAATTTTATAAAAATTTACCATTTGAAATTTTTATAAATTTCATCATTAGATAATTAATATTTACTCCCAAAATTTTTTTTTATTTTTATATTTTTTTCTAAATTTAATCATGCAAAAATACTAAAAAATACATAAAATAAATAAATAAATACAAAAAAAAAAATGAAACGGCTGAGTTTAGCGGTTGAAATTCGGCTAGGCTTGAGACAAAACAACGCTCGAAAACGTGACTTGGGGGCGCAGCTCGACTCAGCTTAGCTGGAATGGATAGGCTAAAACGTGAGTCGGTGGAGCAGGTCGC